CCCCACCCCGCCCCCAAACATAATTAGCAAAGGGAAACGCACATTTACAACCTAAACCATAAAAACCCGACCATTATACAGCTCAGAACGCAGAGGAAATGGAATCGCTAAGACTGAACAACGCTGTCCGTTTTACTGATTTGGGTTTTTATATAAACTGAACAGAAGACGCTTGTCTCTGGGAAGAAGCCTCCCTCACAGTCCTGGGGGCCGTCGGAGCCTCTCTCCTGTCCGTGGTTCCGCTCCCTCGCTCGGATCACTTTATCTGCAGGAACTGAGAGAAGAAAAGCAAGTATTTTAGGACACGCGGGTTTGTGGCTCACGGCCGGGAGCGCGCGGACGCGAAAGTTAGACGCCGAGGCCGGGCAGGACACCGCTAGGGAAGCGCTCGGTCCTCAGGGAGCTCTGGGTTCCCAGATCCGTCGTCGAAGGCGACATGAAGACCACCGACATTCATGAGGAGTATGATTTTTCAAGTTCGGCTAACTGCATGGCTGAGATCGGCCACTGTCGCTCAGCCGAGCTCTAGTCCAAGCCAGAGCAGAAGCGCCTGACATCCTGGGCTCGGGAAAGAGGTGCGGGCCGCTCAGGGACCTTCGCTGTCTTAACAGGAGCGACCACGGGTGGTCTTCCTGGAAGAGGCGGCCCCGGCATTCTTGCTGCCATTTTCTCAAGGATGGCAGACGCTCGGGCGCCGACTGGCTGGTACAGGGGAAGCTACCTGCGCTCTGTCCTCGATAGAGGGGGATGGGCCTACCGGCTGCGCCGGGGCCGGGATGCCCTTCAAACAAACCCTCCTGGAGACGGATGCTCCCAGCTCTCCGCCTCCCCACTCGGGCGAGCCTGGGTGGGACTGAACCGTGCAGCTGACTTCTATCGACAGCGGTGAGAAGGGTGGTGCTAACCGACAGGGGAAGCACATCTAACTTCGACCTCATGCAGCGATACATCTGACGGAAACCCGGGTCAGCACCGCGAGGAGCGAACACTCCTTACCTACCGCTCTACCGGAAAAGCGTACTTTTCCGAGAAGCCTTGCGACCTCTTTACGATCAGAAATGCTTCTGTTCTTTTTCCTAATGGAGATTTATAACTAATAAGTGATTTAAAAAGTATAGATAATCTGTATTTTTAGGTGGCATCTCTAAACAGCAAAAAAAAAAGTGGAAGGAAACGTGGATGATAAAGGTCTGCGATGCCCGGTGACATCTCCATGGTTACTGTGCCGGTGTAACAACCGCCCTTCTACCCGATGCGATTTGCAGTCTTTACGTTTCCCCACAAACTGGAGGTAATTCCAGTTAAAATGATCCTTTTAAAGTCAAATGAAGCACATCTCCACCTACCAGGCAACTGATGAATTATTTCTCATGAATGGCTGATGGGAAGAAAGGAAACATTTACAGAAATAGGTGGCGAGTTTTGCTACGCACACGTGCGCACGTATCTCAGAATTATTTTCCTGTGGAAATAAAATTCTTTCCTCTGGTTCTCAGGTGCTTTACATTCACCTCCCTGCAGAGCCTGCCTCGGGCTTTACATTATTTGCTCCAACTATTTTTACTTAAAAGCACCGTGCAGAAGCTAGCATTTTTTAACATCGCCTATTGTTGTGTGAGATGACGGGGCTAATAGAATATGCCGGGATTTTAACACAACGAACTTCACGAGGGACCCGTATAAATAGTGTAACCAAATCATTTACATTTTTTCCTTTCAAAGTTATTAAAATTTCCTACAACCGGCATTTCCACTAAATTCTGTTCCCCGAGGGGAGAGATTAAGTTTGCCATTCACATAAATTCATGGCAGAGGTTTTTATAAACACGATCCTATTTAATCCTCTTAGAACCTGCAAAGGCCTCCTTTGGAAGGTGGGGAAGTGAGCCTCGGAGACTGGGGATTTGCCTGAGGTCCTGCAGCTGTTCAAAGGCTCCTCCGTCTGAATCTGAAACGTAAATAACCCTCCTTCGCACTGAACTGCTCAAGTTACAGCTGCACTTTTAAGGGGGAATGAGGCAGCTTCTCTCCGCGTCTGAAAGGCAGAGAGACCAGTGTCCCCCAGCCCTTCCTCCGAGGGTCTCTCTGGAGGCCCTAGTGAATCTGGGTCCTTTCTCTCACTTTTGATTCACTGATGTTTACAGTGTAGGGAGAAAGAGCGCCAAGATCGTGGGCCAAATAACCTCTCCAATATATGACAATGTTGAATTTTACCTGCCCCGTGACCCTGAAGAAACAGTGAAGGTTAA